TGACGAGTACTTCTTGGTGTAATGATAACGTTGCAATAAGGATAAAGATCGTAAAGGTGTTTTATATTAGTTAAAGTAATAAGTAGGAAAAGTACTTAGAAGTCAATCTAATTTTCATTTAAACTCGTACCGCCAACACTGGCATATGACGAGCCCCCGCCGGCACAGGGATACCGCTAACCGGCATACCACTAATCCTAGGCTAACTAAGTCTACAGTCCCGCACCTGCCATCCCCGAGTCAGGCCTGCACAGAAACTAATTACAAGACCATCAAACAACCCAGTGCCCTCCCCGGTCCAAGTCCGTAGCCCCTCTAGTATGAAGCCAACCAGCACCAAGCGTAGCCGAAGCCGAGCAAGAGACCGACCCAACCAGGTTCCTCGTCCAACAAAATTAAAACCACTACCACCCGGTCTAAATACCGTCCCGCGACACCTCCACCACAGTAGAAAACCAACAACAAACCAAAATATAAACTACAGGCGTCACAATGGCAGAGAGGAGGTGACCAACATGTCCGCCTCTCGCATCCACATGCCAGGCCGTCGACCCTATAAACCCTCTTTGCCAAGTGCCTCCGAGGAGCGTAATGGTGAGGAGGACCTGTACCCGCTGCCTGTCCCCCAAAACAAACTCATAAACAAAAGAAATACATAGAGGTGGTGACAGACCGAAAAAGTCAGTGGGGCCTATTTCCCACCCATGGTGCCTTGCCCCTGCCAGCCATGCCCATTGCCAAACCAAAGAAACCAAACAAACTTCCACAACACCCAGCACGCAGAACCCAAACAAGTCCAACCAGGTGGTCGCAACCCACTATCCGCACAGGTGGCCATCAGTCCAGCAGTCCGCCGGGGAGCTTTACAGTACTCAGCAGCTTCGCCCAGCAGCCCAAACCAGGTCCGGAAACACTTAATTAGACATCGCCCAACCTGACGCATACCCGCCCGGTGCTCGCAAGTGTCTCTCCCCCCCCAATCAGCCCCCCCCAAGCCGCACACACCAGACGCCACAGAGCCCATCCAGCCCCCCCAGCCCCTCAGACAGAACAACCCATCCGATGGCCACAGGACAGCTAATACCCAGCCCCGCCAGGCAGCCATTGATCTTGGCCACCCAAACAGAGCCCCAACCCCCAGCACCATATAGCCGAGGGGAGCCCACCAGCCACAGCCGGCAGCCACAAAGGAGGCAGCACCCACACCCGAAGGCACAGGCACCGGCCACACTATCCAACCCAGCCGAACCGAAATCCAACGGAGTCGGGAAGAGTAAACAGAGCCAGCCAAAGCCAGCCCCGCAGGTCCGGCAACAGGCACGGACCGAACAACGGGCAAGAGGCATCCCCAACTGACGCGACAAGATGGGGAAGGGCGAATGAACAGAAGCAGACAAACGGAAGGTAGGCCCCACTTGCAATGGGTGAAGCCGCCAACTACAGACCACAACTGAACCACCCAGACGCACAGACAACGCGAGTGCCTGGCAGCCTATCGTCCCACACCACCCCAGGTAGCGAAGAAAAACCACTCCAGGGGGTAAGGTTTTTCAGGGTCAAAGCCATCCCCACAGTAGCTAGGAGGTGACACCTGACTGAACCACCGTATATGCCGCAAGGACAAAACTTCCAAGGGAACGGTGATAAACAACATCGTAGGATTCCAACCGTAGAAACATAAAGTAACGAGGCAAGGAGGGGCCGGCGAGGCCTCCTCCCTTGAGGAAATGATGCGGCCGGTACGACGAGTTGATACTTGGGAAGGTCATCAGTCTAACCCAAGGGCGTTTTGTATCGCGTGAACTAAGGACTCCGTTAAAACCCAACAAAAGACATGAGCTGGCCCAAAGAACGACACGGGTGATCCCCCCAAACACAATGTTCAATCCCCCCAATTGAACGCGAAACCTGGGAGTAGACTATAGACAGGAAGCCGTAGACATTTTACCGAAAGGGGCTCAGAAGCGACCGTGATGAGTGCTCCAAGTGCTAGTATCGTGAGATAACCAGTCCAACGAAACGAGACACAAACTAGTTATCCGCCACGCAACGCCTAACAGACCTCAACACCAAAGACCCCAGGAACTACTGAGCGAACTCAGATATCTCCCCCAGAATCCAAGGCATCAAGGCCCATCATGATGGCGAAAGAAACGCTTGGGGCGAAGCGATGGCAAGGACGAGGAAAAGTACTTAGAACAAAGCGTGAAGAACCTACCTTCCTCGGCCGCATCGGCCTCCTTATATAGTGTTCTTCCCGCCTTTAATCATGTGACCTAAAGTGGTCACATGTGCAAAACCAAATCATAACACACTAGTCATGTGACCAAAGTGATCACATGCTCAAAACCTATGACCTCATAGCGAGGTCATGTGCAAAACTCATAAACCAATCATAACACAATAAACAAGTCATATGACTCGACTGAGTCATATGCACGAAACCCATGACCTCATAATGAGGTCATGTGCGAAACATAAATCATATGCACAAGGCTTACCCGCAAGGCACACTCGCAAGGCAAACTCGTTAGGCGCATATCCCATGACTCATATTTGAGCCATGTGCGAAAGCATCACAAATCCCACTCATAACAAATCATATAACCCGAATGAGTTATATGCGCAAAACAATAACATACCTGTGACTCATAACCATGTGTCACATGAAAACCTTTTCCATGCCAAGCCACACTCGTGACAACAAGGAAATTCTGGAGACCATGTAAGATCAAGACAACAATTCCAATATGGCTAATGAATAGAATCAAACACCACTCTCACGGGTTGCTAAGGATGGACAAGAAAACATTATATGGATAGTACTAATATGGAATGATGCTGATCCGGACACAGCTAACAGATCTCGCTTAATACTATAACATGAGGTGTCGCAGTAGTCTGAAAGCTTCTTTTCGTGGGTGGGAAGGGTACCTAGACTTTGTGAAGCAAGTCTTTTATGATTGTATAAGAGGCAACTTCAACGTCCTAGCATACTGTTTCTTGTGTTTCTTTAGTTTTATTAAGTTGACAAATACTAATATATTAAGAGTAATGATAGGCACGCTCTACCTGGGCCGATACTTACAAGGTTTGGAGTACACAGGATTGGTTTAAAGTCATCTGGGCAGATGAATATGGCTTTAATGTTGGAGGGGCTCCCGGGAGGGTGTGGGTTACGAGAAAAATAGGAGAGGAGTTTGACGAATCTTGCCTTCTCCCGAAGTTTATGAAGCAAGAACTATCCTTGTTTGGGCTTGCTTTGTTGGCCTCCGTAAAAGTCCACTAATCATATATGATAAAGCGAACTGGGGGAAGACTCTAACAGCCAAAGGATACCAAACTCACATTCTACCCCCTTTAGATCGATTTTGGTATAATGAGTCTGCCAGGACTCATGACTATGTATATATTGAAAAGGATAATGCCTCACTGCATTGAGCTTGAACCACAATTACAGATCTCCAAGATCGGGGCCTTTATAACTATCTTCTCCCTTAGCCTGCCACCTCACCAGACCTTAACCTAATCAAACCTGTCTGGAGATTAATGAAATCACGTATTACCAAGCTTCACCCTCACCCTCAAAATAACAAAGACTTAATCGCTGCAATTCAGAATGAGTGGAATGCAATTACAGACTCTGAGCTTGGACAGATTCTGGACAGCATAATCGATCGTGTGGATGCTGTCCTTAGTGTCAATGGTGGCCATACTAAATACTAGTTGTTCTTTCTCTCTTTTTCTCTTTCATAGTCTCTTCTCCACTGTCTATCTCATGTACTTGCTCACTCTTTCTGATGCCTGCCCTCTCCCACACCCCCTCTTTCCTTATTTACACTTACTTTAAGAACTCAAATAAACATACTATGTGCTAGGACGTTGGACTTGCCTCTTCTAGTAAGGTCTGTGTCTTTTTTTAACTTTTTTTTGTCTCCAAGAAGGAGTTTTTTCATGTGCTTTCTCCCTGTTCTCTACAGTTCCTACCCTTACCTACCGCTTCCTACCGCCCCCCACTGCCCCTCATCATTCCCTACCATCTCCCTGTCGTCCATAGCACTCTTCCACTATCTTCTCATTTATTTTTCTGATTTTTGTCATTTTGTGTTATCATCTATAGTTTACCGCTGTCCCCTACTGTCCCCTACTGTCCCCCGCTGTCCTCGACTAAGGCTGTCCTCCGCTGTTTTCCGGTACTTCTTACTGTTTCCCATTATCTTCTGCTGTCATCTGTTATCTCCCGCTGTCTCCCATTGTCTCCTGCTGTCATCCACTATCTCCTGCTGTCTCCCACTATCTTCCACTATCTCCTGCTGTCTCCAGCGGTCTTCCACTGTCTCCTACTGTCTCCCGCTGTCCTCTAGTACTGTCCTCTCTCATTCAGAGTTCTTGGCAGTCCACCCACAGGGCCTCCTGACTATTACGGAGAGATCCTAGACT